GCCATCCCATGCCATCCCATGCCATCCCATCCCATCCCATGCCATGCCATCCCATCCCATCCCATCCCATCCCATGCCATCCCATCCCATCCCAAACAGTAAAAAATAATAAGAAATCAAAAGAAGAAGCTTCAGCCTAGCCAAGACTGGAGCCTGTACGCTTGTGTAGGTCAATAGATTGAGTTCTCGCCTGTTCACTATGTTCACTGTGTTCACCTGTAGCACAAATAGTTCAGTTGTTGCTACCAAACAATAATCTTAAGACACTCGCACGTTGCCGCCATCTATTGACGAATAGTAAAGTATTAATTTGTTTTCAATTTTTAACTTTTTAACTTTTCTTATTTTTTTAATGAATGTAGTAAATTGGCAGAAGTACTGGCTGAAGTTGCAGAAGTACATACTAAAGAGGTAGGTAAAGGGAAAAAAGGGGAAAATAAGTTCCACAGCTGGGACTTGAACCCGGAATCCCTGTGTAGGAGACGGATGTTCTACCGATTAGGCCACTGCGCCGTTAAGGGTATACACCATGGATTCACACGTACGTGATGTTAATCTGTACCCACCACCATCTATTGATGAATAGAATTTTTATCAATTTTTTACTTTTTAACTTTTTTAAATTTTTGTTTCAGCCACCTCACAGATGTGCTGATTCTGAAAATATCTTTAGTTTTTCTCTAGGCTGCGGAGTTCTCTAGTTATGCGAGAACGGACCAATTCGGCTGAACAACTTTATATATATAGATAACGTTGCCTGCTTTAATTACATATTTCCCTTTTTTCGGTTTCCTGATGTTATAGTGAAATAACCCAAACAAACGCTAGCGCAAAGTGAGAGAGAGGGGAGAAGGGCAAGTCCCATATGATGTCTCTGTGTTACTATATTTAGCGGATGCTGAAAGCTAGTGAAAGCTGGAGATTGCGAGCACGCGCAAAGAATGCGTGAGAGAGTCTTGAGTACGCCACTTGGCTTCTGTGCACTGCTGAATATTCCGGCTTTCCAGATCTCTGTGTGTACGTGTGTGTGTGTGCACGCGTGAGTGTGTGAAGTGTACGTGCGCGAATGGTCGCTCACCCACGTATGATCTCATCGGATAGGACACACTGGCTCTGTGTTCTTTCTTCTCCTCCAGGATAGCAGTTACCTAATAGAAAGCATCAATGCGGATAGCTCTGTCTTCTAAGATTTTAGCTGCGTAAGGGTGTCTGTGTGTGTAGAGAGAGAGTGAAATGTAGCTGTCATGACAACGACGTGTCTCAATCAGTTGCATGTGAAACCTGCAGTCCAGTCTGTTCAAGTCGACGTGTCGGTCTCTGACGTGCGTAGATCGGTCACTGCTACGATCAAAAGGCCACGAATGAGAAAGCATATAGTGTTCTCGTGTACATGATGTGCTTGTCTCTTGCACTTGTTCTCGCGTCTGGCATCCTAGCAACTGTAGAGAGAACTACAGACTCATTGATTGATTATTCGTCTGCTAGCCAGCGAGTCA